ATCTCGAACTAGCAAGTGACTTGTCCTCTGAGGTATTCTTAGCCGCCTTACAGCGGTTTATTGCGCGTCGTGGTCGTGTTTCACATATCCACAGTGATTGTGGTACGAACTTTTTGGGTGCAAATCGTGAACTCCTTAAATTAATGGAGAATGCCGCGAGTCATGAAAAAATTACATTCCATCCTACTCCCGCCAGTGCTCCACACTTCAATGGTTTATGCGAAGCTGGAGTCAAATCCGTCAAGACACATTTGTCACGTGTCGTTGGCCAGCAAATTTTAACATATGAAGAATTTTATACAGTCTTAACTTTGATAGAATCGATTTTAAATTCGAGGCCACTCACCGCCATGAGTGCAGACGTCGAAGATATTAACGCCCTTACGCCTGGTCATTTCTTGACTTTGGAGCCGTTGTCCGCTTTGCCATTGCCAGATTTTACGTCGATTCCCCTCAATCGTTTATCACGATGGCAAATGATGCAACGCCTCCACCAAGATTTTTGGCGCCGATGGCACCAAGAGTATTTGCATACGTTGCAACAGCGAGGCAAATGGTTGGACCCCGGTGTGTCACCAAATATCGGATCACTTGTTCTTATCAAGACTGATAATGTTCCTCCCTGTAAGTGGTCTCTGGGACGAATAGTTCAGCTACATTTGGGCGATGATCAGGTGGCTCGAGTGGCAACGGTAAGAACTGCAACAGGAAACTTGAAGCGTCCGTTGGTCAAGCTGTGTCCACTGCCCGACAGTGACAATGATTAATGTTATTTTCTACCTGTTGTGCTCTATATGTCTGTGCTGTGTTACTGTATCAGAATTTTTTTTTTTTTTTCTTTTCAATGGGCAATGCCTTTTCGCCGGGGAGAAAATGTTGCGGAACGGCAAAATCTTTATCAGAACATATATAATAATTTTTCATAAGTATAGTTTATTTTTACCGCGAAGAAACTGAGCCTCAAGGCGACCAAGATTATGCGTGTCATTGGACGAGTTTTCGATCACCTATACGCAAAGGTACCAGTAGTACCGCTGGGTCTCGCGCTAAGTGCATATCGCTCGCAGCATTTTTATATTATATTCGAGTGAAACTCAACCCTTCGCTTTGCCCGCTTCACCCTTAACCCGCTTAATTCGCTTAACCCGCCGTCGCTTCAGGCAAGGAAAGTTTGGATCGCTGGAAGGGCCCTTCAGAAGAAGATCAGCAGGATCACAATAAGGTAAGTCGTCTTGCCGGCTCACGCTGTATTTTTTATTTTTGAAGTGCTCTTTTGGCTCGCTTTGGCTTCACAGTTAAATCCACTGCCGTTCCCCTTCACTATACTATTATCGAATATCAAACCACTCTAAAATATTATGATACTTATAGTAGAGTATGATACAATTTTGTTGTGGTATTATTCGATGAATGTTGTGACTGGCGCCTATTTAACTGAACCTTTTGTATTCTCTACCGACTATTCCTCTGAGTGTATGTAGTATATAGCACTCTTTTTTCCTAATTCCAAAATCTGCGAATTATTTTTTGCACCATCATAATTCAAACTGTTTGGCGAATCACTGTCGATCGAAAGTTTTCCCGGAGATTGTAATCTTTTCTGTGTCATTACTGTTCTATATTTGTCTTTAATTATCATCAATTTCGAAAATGAAGGCACTGCTTCGCAACTCGCCATTTATTATGTTAAAATCAACTCTAAAGCAGTATATAAATTGGAAACTGCGTCCATCATTCCCATACTATAGAATGGGTTCAGTTAACCATGAATCATACTCTAGCTGATGAACAAGTTATAGCCTATCAGAAAACAACAATTTGACCTTTGTAAAAACTTCACGATTTTCGAGATATTGAAACTTTAATGAAAAAATATAATTCCTACTCAGATCATTATTTTCGTTCCAAGCAAATAAGAAGTTTATGTTAATTCCCATTCTCGATGGAAAATTACTGAATCCCAGTCAACACATATCTGACATGACATCTCTGAGATGTCGCGTTTAGGTAACAGTGCGATATCACAAACGTTCCATCGCTGTGATCTTCATGAGCAAACACATCTGCGACAGGACATCTCTGAGATGTTGCGATGAGACAACACTGCTATATCCCGAATGTTCCATCGCTGCGATAGACAGAAGCAAACACATCTGCGACAAGACATCTCTTTAGATGTTGCGTTGAGGCAACACTGCGATATCTGGAATGTTGCATTGCTACGACGTACAGAAACTCATCGGCGAGAATTTTTCAAAAATTTGTTATTCTGTTCGGTGAAAAATAATACATGAATATACGTTTCTCAACAAAGTGAAGCTGAATTCGCAAACATTCGTTACAATGCCATCAAACTTTTCTTGGTTAGCTTATATCTCGCCGACACACACTACACAATTTTTGATACAAATACGAGAAACTGATCTCATTCTGATAGAGTTTCGATAGCGCCGCTGAGAAGACGATTGAATGGATAGGAGATTCGAGGGATCACCAGTCACATGAACAATATTTGATGTCATCAGAAGTCGAGTGGTATACCTAATATCACACCATTTTTTTAGAAACTCTTTTTTCGATTTACTGCGATATCATATCTCACATCACATCGTAGTTTTATCGCGAAAACACATCGCTTTTTCATGACATATCGCAATCATATTTCAAAAAATATGCCGCTGTTACATCGCAGGGAAGTTATCGCAGCGACTTCCTATGGATGAAACTTGAGTGGGACGACATAACATTCCCCAACATCGCAGCAACGTCAATGCGACATAGAATGCGATATCGCAGGTTACACTTGTTACATCGCGGCGTTATTTCTGTGATGTAACTGTGGTTGCTGGGATAGTAGTCGTTATAACCGCAGAAGGCAGATTTTCGTTAGCAGGGTAACTTTTAGGAACAGAATTTTTTTTTTACCAAAGTTTCATGAGTCATGGAGGATCCAAATCGAAAGATATATTTTTTTGGTACCGTAAATGACTGCTACCAAAAATCTATCTCTGACGATTGATTCAACTATTCAGTTATATATATCGAAAATAAGAATTGATACGAAATGCTCCTTATTTGCTTAGAACATCATGAAAGGATCATCTGAGATTGAAAGTATTTTTTTTAAGTTCCAATATCTCGAAAACCGTGTAGTTTTCACCAAGGTTTTCTTGTGTGGTATGGTGAATGGTTGCTGCTGCTGCTATAGCTACTACTACAAAGACTACTACAAAGTAGTTGATTTTCTCTCGTTATGTACCAATTTCGTTCATTTATGAACATTTGTGGAAATGACTTCGAGCTTCACGTATTCATTCAATTCTTAATTTCAGTTTTAGCATTTTGGCTTTTTCTTATTTGAGATCATGCTACTCGGGCAACCAGCCACTCGTATTTAATGGAAATTTGTTTCGTATTGTTTCTGTCCTGCTCAGGTGACGTTAGTGTCCGTCTTGCGGATACTGTAAGCCTCTTGGGTAATAGCTAGTATGCCATTATATTGGGTCAGGTTCGCACCATATAGCGTTTATGAATGTTATCTGGGATAGCACTGCACTGATGATAGCCAAAAGCTCGGAACCTGTCTCTAGGTAGTCACGCGTTCCTGAAACACTTAGGCGTAGCTCGGCATTCAGGAAGTAAACACCTGCGTTTTCATTCGTCTATACGAATCATTGCATAGATTTCGGGGGGATGTGATTTAATGTTCTGCGTGGAATATAGTCAGGAAGGTAGTTGTTTTTTTCTTGTACCCTACCAATTTTATTCATTTATGATCATTTGTGGAAATGACTTTGAGCTTCACGTATTTATTCATGTAACATTGTTTGAGCTGAAAAATCTAAACAAACTCACGCCTAGCGCATACCGACGAAGAGCTGCCGTTCGCTTGTGACAAACTATCCTTGCTGAAAAGTAAAGCATACCAAACAGAATGGGGCTGCATCTATTAGTAAGTTTACGTACGAATAATATGCTAAAATCCTATTCGCACGTTTACCGTTTACGTTCGAATAGGTTTCGACGTACCTACCTATATGTACGTATGCGTACGTATAATATGCCAATGCCTATTCGCACGTTTACGTACGAATATGGCTGGCAGTAACTATATATACGTACGTATACGTATGTACGGGTAGTGTATTTTTTGCTTATCCGCAATTTTACGTACTTAAATGTTTTCAATTTTAGAAAAATATATCAGTCTTTACAACTACTTATGTAAAATTTGATGAAAATAATGTGTAATTCATTATGCTTAGTCGAATTCCACAGCAAACTATGTTCAACATTGTTTAGGCAATGTACTGTGTTATATATGGTTCACTTTTATATCAGGTGTTATTTCTATCTCAATTTTATATCAGAATTTTGGAAAAAATATGAAACCATTATAGCAGTCCGAATTTGATCGATTGTTTTGTCGATCACATTGATCTGAATAAATGTAGGAACTTCTTCCTATGTTTCTAGCACATTTTCCTCTGTGCCTAACACATAGGCTTTGGCATATTTAGAAGCTTTGACATATCACGTGCAGATAGGCTTCTGCATATCTATTCGTAAGTATACGTACGTATAATATGTCAAAGCCTATCCGAACGTATACGTACGTATAAATATGCCAAAGCCTATCCGTACGTATACGTGCCGATAGATATGGAAAAGCCTATCCGTACGCAAATATAGTTGTCAATTTACGTACGGATAGCATTCTTGGTAGTTATTCGCACGTAAAAGTACGGATAAAGTGCCTTATCGCTATTTGTACGAATTCGTACGTATGCACGCACTGCGTGCGAATAGACACTTCCACAGAATGGGCAAATGGGTCACCTATTTCAACGTTAACTACGATGCTACGATCATTCATAGAAATCCGATATGTGTAGTCATATAACGTTGCAGAGTTTTTATCTCAAAAAGTAAAAGGACAACTTTGCTTGATTCGGTTCATCTGAGCATACCTAACTAGCAGGTTCTCGTTTTTTTTATAGAATGGAACAATTCACGGCACTCTTCTGGCCCTGGAGAAATATTTGCCCAATTACAAACAAGGTGAAGATGCCCTCATCGTCAATATGTCCTCCGTAGCTGGCATTGCTGAATTCGGTTTCATTCCCATCTACACCGCCACTAAACATGCAATCATAGGGCTGACCAGGGCCTGGGGAATCCCACTCGTTTATGAAAGAACTAAAGTACGGGTTGTTGCATTGTGTCCTGGAGGAACATTGACTCCACTGACAACTGATATGAATGGAAGGAATTTGGGAAAAGAATATGAAACCATCTTGGAGAAAACTAGGCATACATTTCAACCTCCTCAAGAGTGAGTACACTGGAGTGTATGCAAAAAATTCATACACTTATGCACTTACGAATAAATTAATACACTAACCAGCAAAACAAAAATTGGCAGAAAAAAATTCAAGGAAATTGATCACCCTACAAGTTTTATAATCATTCTTGTCCGATTCTGGTGGAATTTCGATTAAATCGTTGATTCATGTTTCTACGAAAGCTCTGAAGGGACATGGTGAGATATTTTTTAAAAAAATATCTCCCACATTTTTATGTCCCTTCGGGGCTGCTAAAGTAAAATGTGAAATAATTTAAAAAAAATATCTCCTATGTCCCTTCAGAGCCGCTTATAAAAATCATAGAGATATTTTTTCCGGCTGCTGTGTTGCCAAGTATATTTTATTGTTCGTGCAGTCAAGAATAGTGACTGCGTTTGCGCCAGATCACGTGATCAAGATGTGACCAATAAGGACAAGGGCTGTGGATTTGTGATTTTAACAATCCCACTTTCATGGAGATTATAGAGAAAGACTAGAAAGAGAACCCTCCCCTCTTTGGTGTGTACTGTGTCGTGGTGTGTAAAATGACCATAGATGAAAGATGAAATGAAATACCTTTCTACTTACTTTCTACATATTATTAGGTTGTCATGTTCTGAAGTTCTGAACTTTCGACAACGTGACTCAATTTTGCATGATATCTTTTATAAATTGATATCATGGTAGAATAAGTGAAGCAGTTAATCAAACGATACTTTCAGGTAGGATTCAAACTTTCCGAAATAAAAGCATTTTTGATGTTATGACATGACTTTCTGATCAGTGAAAGGCAGTTGAGAAGGTACTTGAAACAACTTTATTTGTATCGAAGGAAAAATTACACAGACTAACAGACCTAACAATTATATCAGACTTCATTGACCAACAAATACTTGGTTCAGGTAGTCTGCATGGATATCAATGGATGCACCTGAAATGTTTACAAAATGGTTTGGTAGTCAAAATGAACACTGTGAGGCGTCTCCTGGAGGAAAAAGACCCAGGAGGAGTTGAACTGCGTTCGAGAAATAGGCTGAGACGAAGGGCACATCATAATAAAGGACCAAATTATATGTGGCATGTTGATTCTTATTATGACAAATTAAAACCATATGGCATTGCAATTAATGGATGTGTAGATGGATTCTTTAGACGAATTATGTGGTTGAGGGCTGCTAAGAGTAACAATAATCCTCGTATAATTGCTGGTTAACCCGTGTTCCCGTGTATTCGAATTCTGTTCTCTACTTATTTTATTTATGTTTTTGTTTTCTTTCCCCCCTGAAAAATTCACTGCATTTTGCTGCCGTGTGAAACATTTTTTCTACAGCTGTAACACAAAATTGCTCTTGACTGTGTTCGATAAATCAATGAGGTACTTTGTATGTCATCAATTTTATTTCCGTATCTGATATCACCACAATGACTCTATTGTGTATTGTGTTTTGTGTTATTATATTTCAAAACAATCTCATCTTCCATGAAATGTCAAATAACAAGCAATGACAGCATTGACAGGCGACAGCTCTGTCTAGTAGATGAGAAGATGAGAAAAATCAGATGGCTACAAGCCGAAGAAAGACAAAATTTCGCTGTTATCTGTCACAACCTTAGAAAAAGTATAATAGTGTATAACTCGCCACGGAATGTTGATTTCCCACTCGAATGGTTGCAGCATTCGCCAACATTCCGTGCTCGTTAAACAATATACTATTTTTCTACGGCTATAACACAAAGTTGCTATTGTTTTACTGTGTTCGACAAATCAGTGAGGTACTTTGTATGTCATCAATTTCATTTCCGTATCTGATATCACAATGACCCCATTGTGTTACTATTATTTCAAAAACATCTCATCTTTCATGAAAAGTCAACAAGCAATGACAGTTTTGACAGCTCTGTCTAATAGATGAGCATTACCTACTTAAAGGAAAATCCGATGCCTACAAGTCGAAGAAATACAAAATTTTGCTGTTATCTGTTACAGCCTTAGAAAAAGTATAGTTTATAACTCGCACGGAATGCTAATTTCCCACTCGAATGGTTGCAGCATTCACCTATGACTCATGCTTCATTCTGGTGGGAATTGACGATCATTCCGTGCTCGTTTAACAATATACTATTTTCTCCAAATGTTACATTTTTTGTAATTTTGTGTACTTATTTTTATTGAAAACTACATCATTTTGTGTTCACCCAGTGTCAATGTCAATTTTGATTACCAATTGGCACGTATTCAAAACGCCCCGATAACAGGCATAGGCAAGCTTTTAGACCAATCAGGTTGATTTTGGCTTCGGCGGTAAATTCGAATCGCATATCTTATAACAATGATGATTATGAGAAAATGTACTAAATATGTTATATGATGATGTCGTATAGGCAATATATATTAGAGGTATACTCATCATATTAGATAGTGTTCATCTAAGAATTTGATTTGTCCACTTTCAGTCTTGGTGTTTTGATTAAATTGTTCTATTTCTGAATAAAGTTCATGGGATGTCTCTGATAGTCCATATCGATCTATAAACATTTTCATGTATAAATGATGGCAGAATATTATGTCGGAACAAATAATATCGTAGATTGTGAGTTCTCTCTGTAGGTATGATAACTACAAGATCACCTTATACGAATATGTTAATCAATGACACCAGGGTGCTTTCGTAGATATCCGATACGGGCTATATTCCGAATTCAACTGACAGTACTGAATCTGCTGATTTTTCATTCCGAAATCAAAAAATTTACTAAAAGTGACAGATGCTTGTGAGCAGACGTACTATTCATTCCAAATATTTCGACTCAACATTCTGCTGAAATTGCTAAGTATCAGAAAAGTTAGTGTGGCTTCAGTGAACTATCATTATTTTAGTGGGGGAAGGAATGAAACATTCATTTCTGTTTTTAATGATATTATTCTCAATATAATATTGAGTATCGAGTAGTAGAGTTAACAAAACAAGAAGCAGCATTGGCTAAATGAATAACTAAATAAACCTGAAATGTCTCCTAAATCCATCATCATAACGTTTTCTATAAATGTTCCAATTCTCAATCTGGTGCATCATGAAAATTGATGGCGAAAAATGTCCAAGGTATTCTTTATCACTCGAGCCTGAATCGTCATCGTCAATAATCATAGAAACTATGGAGGCTACAAAAGAATCGATTGCTCTTTCATGTTAAATATTAAATATTAAATATCTGGTCCAGATAAACGGGAAACCACAGACTGACAAATTTCACCAGCTGATAAACTATTGTTGACTACTGATGAAAACCATGAAAACGTGTCCCGAATTCAATCAATCAATCAATCAATCAATCAATTTATTTACCGTATACAAAATTACAATATGAAATAAACAATGTGGTAACATTGGTGGTAAATAAATACAGAGCGCCCAAAAAAAGGTTTCCCTTGTGCATGGGCGTAGGTATCAACATTTTACATTTACATTACATTTTACATTTCACGTTTCACATTTTTCATTTTACATTATACATTTTACATTTTTTATAATATATTTTATTTATTTTGTTTTTACAGTGGGGTGGTTAGGTATGGTAAACACATGAACATGGTGACAATTATACGTTCGTAAATATCAGAGAGAAAAAAAAAAAAAAGAATTTATATGATAATCGATGTTTAAAAATACAGTTAATATAGTCAAGAGGCATAGTGAATCTCATTTCGAGTTTTTCCTATCAATTGCTCGATGTATTTCAGCTCTTGGGTAAGTATGCAGCCAATTTTTTAGTTTTTTTTTCAACAAGCCTAGCGATTGAATTCTCCGTAAGTCATCAGGTATATCAGCATATAAGACTGGACAAAGGTAGGTAAATGATCTTTGACATTTTTGAGTATTGACTCTTGGTATAATTGTTGTTTTGGCTTTGAAGCGTGTTTCATGTTTGTGGTGTATGTGCTCGTATTTGTGTTTATTTTTATGATGGTGGATAATTAAAGATTGGTAATACAGTTGTCGGGCATCTAAGGCTTTTGCTTCTGTGAGTAATGATTCAGTTGGGTACCTATAATCTTTGCGGTGTATGATTTTCAAGATCCATTTTTGTGATGTCTCTAATGGTTTTAAGTAGACGTCTCCGATTCCTCCCCAGACCTTTATACCGTATGTTATGTGTGTCTGAATTAATGAGTTATATAGGATTGTCATGTATTTCAAGTCGAATATTTCTCTGTAAACTTTAAATCTGTTGGCCATGCTTTTTAGTTTTTTTGATACATAATCTGAGTGGTAGTTCCATCTGAGGTGGCAATCTATAATTACTCCTAAGTATTTAATATGGGAAGCTGAGGGGATCTTTATGAGGCCGTTATTGAATTCCAGTTGGCTGTAGTTTGGGAGAGTGTCGCTGTAGCAAGTGAAAGGTATAAAAAAGGTTTTCTGGTAATTTATGGTAAGTAGTCGGTTTTGAAAGAAGTTCATTACATTCATAAAGTCTTTTTCTACTTTATTTTTTAGGGTATGCCAGGTTGAATCTTCGTATAGAATCGCAGTATCATCAGCGAAGCTGATGATGCTGCCTTGTGTTGTTGTTTGGAATAGTTCATTGATGTATACATTGAATAGTATAGGCCCCAACACAGTACCTTGTGGTACGCCGTATTCCAGTGTTTTTTCTGAACTTATCGTGCCATCAATGTTGACCACCTGTTTTCTTTCACTAAGGTAGCTTTCCATTAGTTTGAGTGACGTTCCCCGGAAGCCTACAGCTTCAAGTGTTCGAAGAAGCTCTCTATGGTTCACCGTGTCAAAGGCCTTGGCCAAATCAACGAAGATGCAGAGACATGGTTTGCAGCACTGTATTTTTGATTTCATATTTCGGAACACAGATTTTCAGCAGATTCAGTGGATCTACTGACAGTACTGACCAGTTGAATTCGGAATATAGCTACGGAAATAAAAATGGCACCCTTACAAAGTATACCTAACTACGAAAGCGTAGAAGCGCCACA